CTCAAACCCCTTCGTCTTTCATCCTTGGGCTTGGGGGGGCAGTGTACTGGTAGACACCCTTTCGGCCCCATACCAAGCCGAATCACCCCTTCGGCCATCGATCGAGCCGAGTACCCTCCTCGGCCCAATCACAAGCAATCCCCATCCAAGCCACACTATCTCGGGCGTGGATCAAGCCAAACACCCCCTCGGCCCCAGGCCAGGCCGAACACCCCTTCGGCCCCAGGCCAGGCCGAATACCCCTTCGGCCTCAGGCCAGGCCGAATATCTTGACGGCCTTAGGCTTGACCGAAGGACTTGACGTAAAAGGAACTCACCTAAAACACGTGGCAAATTAGATACCTATTATACAGCAGTCATCAACCTTGATTAAGGGGAGCTTAAGGTTAATTAAAAGGCTACCCACTCCCAAGACAGAAGGCCCACCAGGCCTAAATATGTCACTATAAATACACAGGTGATGGGACATAAAAGAGGTATGATTTATTCCATATAAAGGCATTTATTGCTCTATACCGAATACTTACTTGATCGTCGGAGTGCCTTTGCAGGTACCCTCCCCTCCCCTCGGAGACAGTATTCGGTCGGAACAAGGCTATCAGCGTCGGCCTTTCAGAGCTTCAAGACGATGCTCGTAACTCCACCGCTGTTAAGCAAGCCAGACCCTTGTTTAGACATGATAGTCTACATATCAGTGTCGGACAAGGCTATCAGCGCTGTTCTGGTACAAGAAACGACGGAGCAAATGCCGGTGTATTTCATCAGCCGAGTCTTACAAGACGCCGAGACGAGATACCAGCATCTGGAAAAGACAGTCCTAGCCCTTGTACACACTGCCAGGCGCCTTCGACACTATTTTCAGAGCCATCGGGTGCTCGTCTGAACAGACAGTCCCATAACTAAGGTCATGCGAAAGCCAGAATTGGCGGGACGAATGGTTGCTTGGTCCGTAGAATTGTCCCAGTTTGATATTCGCTTTGAGCCTAGAGGACCCATCAAGGCACAAAGCTCGGCCGACTTCTTGAATGAATTCACACCCCAAGTGCTCCCCGTTTCCCATCTTTGGACCCTACATGTAGACGGGTCATCAAACCAACAAGGCAGTGGTACTGGCATTATTTTAGAAGGTCCCGATAAGGTGGTGATTGAACAGTCACTCCGTTTCGGCTTCAAGGCATCCAATAATCAAGCCGAGTATGAGGCCCTTCTGGCAGGCATAAGGTTGGCAAAAGACTTAGGCATCCCCAGAGTACAATGTTGGAGCGACTCGCAGGTGGTAACAGAGCAGGTCAACGACACCTTCCAAATTAAAGAACCAACGTTGTTGCTATACTTTCATGCGTTTAATAAGCTGAAAGCAGATTTTGAAGATGTCCAAGTCAAACACACGCCTCGAGAACTCAACATGAGAGCCGATCAATTGGCCAGGCTAGCTAGTAGCAAGAAGGTTAGCCATTTGCGCAGCATGATACAACAAGAATTTTCGAAGCCAAGTATCACACAGACCGAATGTTTGCAAGTTCAGCAAGAAACGCCCAATTGGATGACCGGGATAGTAGAGCACTTAATAACCGGATCATTGCCTATTGATCCATTGGAGGCGAAAAAGATGAAAACCGTGGCGGCTCGATACACCCTGATCGCCGGAGAATTATACAAAAGGGGGTTCTCATCACCTTTGTTGAAATGTTTGGCGCCAGATCAAGCACAATACGTAATCCGGGAAATACATGAAGACATATGCGGAACCCACTCAGGAGGCCGAACTCTCGCAACCAAAGTCGTCTGGGCCGGCTATTATTGGCCAACTCTAGTGGCGGATTGTTCAAAGTTTGTTCAACAATGCAAGCCCTGTCAGCAACATGGACCGATGATGCATCAACCCCTCAAGGGGTTACACTCCATTGCCGCCCCCTGACCATTCTCTATCTGGGGTATGGACATTTTGGGACCTTTCCCGCCAGCAAAAGGCCAAGTCAAGTTTCTTCTTGTGGCCGGTGACCACTTCACCAAATGGATCGAGGCGGAGGCAGTGGCTACCATCACGGCTAACCACGTTCAAAAATTCTTTTGGAAGAATGTCATTACTCGTTTTGGAATCCCGTATGCTTTGCTAACGGATAATGGTTTGCAATTCACTGACCTCCGTTTCAACGAGTTTTTGACCGGGCTAGGAATTAAACACAAAATGACCTCGGTAGAGCACCCCCAAACCAATGGGCAAGCCGAAGCGGCAAACAGAAGTAGTTAATAGATCTCTATCCACAATGTTAAGGGCAGTCCTTAAGGGTAACCATAATGTATTAGAATGGGGCCTTTGAAGGCTTTGTTTGGTAGGAGGTGTAAGAATCTATTGTGTTGGTATAAGAATGGCGAGTCAGTAGTGGTGGGCTTGAGTTGGTTCTAGAGACTACTAAGTAGTGGTGTAAGACTCCATTGTGTTGGTTGGAAAGGATGAAAATTGCCCAGAGTAAGTAGAAATCATATGCTGATAAGAAGAGAAAGCATTAAGAGTTTGCTAAGAAAGAACATGTGTTTTTTAATATCACAAGCACTATTGGAGTGGGAAGGGCGATAAAGTCCAAGAATTTGACCCCAAAATTTATTAGGCCTTATCAGATCCTTTGTCTTTTAGGTCTAGTGGCTTATTAGTTAGCATTGCCACCATTCTTGTCTAACCTACATGATATGTTCCATGTCTCCTAGTTGAGGAAGTATCTGCATGATTTGAGCAATGTAGTGGAATATGATAATGCAAAAGTGAAGAAGAGTCTGGCCTATGTGAAATAATTGACTATAATTATGGATCATAAGGTGAAGGAAGTGAAGGACAAATTGATCGATCTTGTCAAGGTTGTTTGGCATGTGGCTACAAGTGAAGCTACATAGGAGCTAGATGACATGATTAAGGATTAATATCCATTTCTTTTCCCAAGTCAATTTTCAAAGACAATTTTTTTGTTGGGGAAAATTGTAACTCTATGCATTTTAATTGTTGATTTTATTGAATTACGTGTTATGGTTATTTGATTGTTTAATTGTTGAGAAACTCTAGGAATTTAGGAATTCTTAGGGGTTTTAGTTGTTTAGGAGTTGCTTTGAGTGAGGTCAAGTTTCACCTATTATGATAAGGTATATACGGCCTTTCATTAGAAGTAAATTTCATAAATTCATTTCTTCAAAAAATTAGAAAGAAGTTAAAAAAAAGAACTTTGATCCCTAAGATTTCTTCCTTCTTTCCTAGCCTTTTTGAGAGCATAGAGAACTATAGTGGAGTAAAGTTGTAGTGATTCAAGGCGTGTGAAACTGAGAATCCAAGTCTGTGAAGTTGTGGTGCAAAATTCCTAAAAGAGGTTCTTCTTCTTCCTTCTCATTTTAATTGATTTTTAGAGGTAAAGGAAGCTAGAACTTAATTCTTTGTTGATCGAGGAAGTTGAATGTTGTTTATTCTTACAAAAACTATGGTTGTGTTGATGATTAAGTGATGAAATTCTTGATTGTGGGGTTTTTGGGAGTTTGAATATGGTTGAGGGAGATTTTGGGTGAATGATGATTGATTCTTGGTTGCATGTAGTTGTTTTGGTGAGAAATGAAATGCTTAGGTTGTGTAGATTTGTTTTCTTCCATTACATGCTTGAATTTCTTAAGTTTCAAGTATGGATGAGCCAAAATTGTGAATCTACCAAGTGTAGAATTCATCATTATGTTGGACATAACTTTGGGGCATCTGGCATGATACAGGCCAGAGACTCTCTACCTCACTGATGCTAGGCATGAGATTGGTAGCGTCGAGCATGAGTTAGAGGAGAGCTCTCTAACTTGATCACACCGAGCATTTCCGATCTAGAGACTACTAAGTAGTGGTGTAAGACTCCATTGTGTTGGTTGGAAAGGATGAAAATTGCCCAGAGTAAGTAGAAATCATATGCTGATAAGAAGAGAAAGCATTAAGAGTTTGCTAAGAAAGAACATGTGTTTTTTAATATCACAAGCACTATTGGAGTTCCTTAATCGGCGTTTGTGGTCTGCTCGGTCTCCTCTTCGTCATTAACAGTGGTGTCAGGATCGTCGAGAGCCGCCGGTCGAGGAGAGGCCACTAGGTCAGGTTCGGCGTTCTCATCAACATTAGCAAAATGGAGCAACTGACCCTGAAAGAAGTCCTTTCCTAGATCAAAAGAGAAGCCGGATGGGAAAGTGCCGAAGTGTGTGGCTTGTCGGACGGCATGCCAAAATCCGTCCTCATGCTCTTTGATGACCTGATTCTCACACTTAGCTCGAAAGGCCTCCATAGCTGCGTCGGCATCAACCTTCGCTCGAGCAATGGCCTCTTCCATTTGCCGAACCCTTGCTCGCTCGGCCTCTTCGGCAACAATCGCTCGGCCCTCCATTTCACCTAAGGCCTCCTTCAAACGGGCTACCTCGGCCTCCAACGTTAATTTCTCGTTGGAAGTAACCTCGTGAGCCTCGACCGATTGCTGAAACGCTGATTTGGTCTCCTCCAGGTTCTTCTGCAGATTATGCACGTCGGCCATAGGCTCTAACGCCAATTTCTTAAGTATGGCCATCGTCCTGACTTGCAACTCACAAGCCATAGCCCACTTGGCTGACGGACTCGCTGAGTCAAGCATCCGGTGTCCTTGCTCCGACAGTAAGTCCGACGACATCATTCTGGCTGGCCTGATTTCCCCCGACAGAAAATCCTTCGCGACGATGGCCGAAGGGATTGCTAATTCAGCGAAAGGAGATTCGGCCCGGCGCTGCTTAGGCCGGTTGCTTTCCGTCGCAGCCACATCGGCTTTCCGTTTCCCCTTGTCCCTTTTTCTTCTTCCATGGGGATCCGGAAGGGCAATGACATGAGGAGGCGGGGGCGGTGCCGCCATAGTAGTCGGCTGCTGATCGATGGCCAGGCTCCTATGAGCCTCGACCGAAGAAGCGGCTGGAACACGACTCCTCATGAGTTGCCGATACGAGACGCCGGCACCTTGCTGAGCCATCCAACCTGTCAAGAGCCAAAAGTCACACATCGACTTAACAAGAACAAGGGAACAAGAAAAAATGGTACATACCCTCTAATTCAAAACGAGGCCGAGGCGATTTGGGCAACAGTACAAGAAACCGAGCCGGGATCCCCTGAGGTAGCCCATTCAGAATGTTTGTAGCCGACACCTCGGCCTCGGTCAACATCTCCAGTGGAAACTCGTCATACTTTCGAGCTTGCCTTGTCCAATAGAAGGGAAAAAGAGGTTTCTGCTCGGCATCAGAAATAATTCCGGCCGGCAACGGGGTCTATCATCACCTTTACAAACCCCGATTTGAATCCCTTAAAGGATGAAGTATACGGCCGCATTAGTGGCCGGTCGTCATGCCGAATAAGAGACAGCCACTTTACGAATTTATTCGACGGCCGAGTACAAAAATAATGTAAAAATAACCCTACGCTAGGCTCTATGTAATGATATCTACAAAGCACCCGAAAGGCTTGCATGTACGCCCACCCATTCGGGTGCAACTGGGTCGGCGCCACATTTAACACCCTAAGAACCCCCATCTGGAAGTCGTCCAGAGGGAGAGATACCCCAAGCTCCCGGAAAAGACACTCATACATATAAAAATAATCACCCTCATTCTCTCGCTTCGCAAGGAATACAAGGTCTAACTCGTTAGGACCTTCGGCCCGTCACCGACGCAACTTGACTGGATAGGGCTCTAAATCTTCCCACCGAGCCAAAGTGCATATCCCGAGAAGGTGCTCCACGGCACTCCTCGCATAAAAACGGGAATAGTAGGCGGCCACTTCGCCGTCAACCCACTCATACCCCGGAACATCGCAAGGAGGAAACTTTTGCCTATAGTCTTGATGACTCATCTCGGCATCCGGAAGGTCCAAATCGGATGAACTGGCCGACCCCCTACTATCACTCAACCCCACCTCGCGGGAACTCCCCGCCTCGACCTCGGCATCGAAGGCCAACACTTCGGCCAACACATCCACTGATAATACCCTAGCATTCGAGGACGACCCCGATGACAAATCAATCGAACCGGTTGCCATTAAAAAGAAAAAAGCTAAAATCTACCTGTCAACTAAGCACTCGGGAGACAATATGGTGAGGGTCTCGGGGCAGACAATCTTAATATGAAGAAACGCGTGAGGATAACTATGCCCCAACACTGTTTATATAGGTGAACCCCCCGGAATCCCAAAAGCTCCTCATTAATGCCCCTGGAACTGAAAAGACGCAAGCTAAGGGCTTGAAACCCTAGGTCAGCTGCGCATGCAACGGTCACTTTCATCAACAGTCACGACCCCCGAGACGCGTACGGAAACCCTAAAAACCCACATCGAGCCTACTCAAACCCCTTCGTCTTTCATCCTTGGGCTTGGGGGGGCAGTGTACTGGTAGACACCCTTTCGGCCCCATACCAAGCCGAATCACCCCTTCGGCCATCGATCGAGCCGAGTACCCTCCTCGGGCCAATCACAAGCAATCCCCATCCAAGCCACACTATCTCGGGTGTGGACCAAGCCGAATCACCCCTTCGGCCATAGATCGAGTCGAGTACCCCCCTCGGCCCAATCACAAGCAATCCCCATCCAAGCCACACTATCTCGGGCGTGGATCAAGCCGAACACCCCCTCGGCCCCAGGCCAGGCCGAATACCCCTTCGGCCTCAGGCCAGGCCGAATACCTTGACGGCCTTAGGCTTGACCGAAGGACTTGACGTAAAAGGAACTCACCTAAAACACGTGGTAAATTAGATACCTATTATACAGCAGTCATCAACCTTGATTAAGGGGAGCTTAAGGTTAATTAAAAGGCTACCCACTCCCCAAGACAGAAGGCCACCAGGCCCAAATATGTCACTATAAATACACAGGTGATGGGACATAAAAGAGGTATGATTTATTCCATATAAAGGCATTTATTGCTCTATACCGAATACTTACTTGATCGTCGGAGTGCCTTTGCAGGTACCCTCCCCTCCCCTCGGAGACAGTATTCGGTCGGGACCGAAGCCTTGGAAGATCAAGAACTTAGAAGATTAAGAAGATACAAAAGACCGAGGAGAAAGAACGACAAGAGGAGTGTTTCCTACGCAGGAACATATATATATATATATTAAAGAGGACAAAAATTAATTACATGATAAATAAAATTAACAATAACTAAAAATATTTTTAATAATATTATTTATTTTGAATTTTTAATGTACTTTTTATATGTCTCTATATTATATAGAATTTTAAAAAATCATATATTTTTTTAAATAGAAGAATCTAACTTAGATTCTTAATCTATTTTATGTGAGAATATTCATGGATGGATTTAGGATTTAGTATACCGAAACTTTTCCCCATTTTTTGTTTAATATTTTATAATAAAAAAAACGAAAATTCTTGGTTGTACCGAGACTTGACAAAGAAGAGGGGCAGAGGTGGAGAAGTTTTATAGAGATTAATTAGAAATATTATAATAAAAATAAAATATTTCCTTTATTCTCTTTTATATGATAAAAAGCATTTTCAAGAAAAATAAAATTTAATTATTTATATTTATTTAATGATATTTTTAAAAATACCATTTTGAATATATATATATATATATATATATATATATATATTATATTTTAGTCAAAATTAAACAATTAATTAGTAATATATATTTATATATATAAATAATTTCCTATTTTCGTGTATACAAATTGTTCTTACCGGAAATCTGCTGTAGAGCTGATCCGCCAGGTAAGATCGGTGAGCCTCCTTCACTGCTACGTTTGTGTTCCAAGATGGGGGGGGCACCTGCAAAAGAGACTCCGATGCTAAAGTTAGTGTTTGTGGGAGTATGAATCTCGTATAAATAAGGCACGTACCTTGGTGTGGATTTAGGGTTGCTTTGGGCCTTGGGCCTGAGATAAGATATAATATGGTTAGGTAACGGACCTCATTTGGGGCGAGATCCTCGGGAATCAGTTAGGATTCCCTGAAATGCCGAGCTGATGCCACGCGGTGTGCGTCCGAGGTCGGTTTGCGTCGTGGTGCCGAGCTCGGAGCTCGGCTTCGTAGTACGGATAGTACACTAGCCCCCCGAGCTCCGCAGACCGTGGGTCGAGGAGGTAAGACCGAGCTCGCTAGGGGGAGGTGACCTTTCGCGTACGTCTGCCTGTTGAGATGCCATGTGTTGTAACTATTCATTTCCCGAAAACGTGCAAGTGGCGCGTTAGTGGGACTGCCTGTTTTCAATTAATGTGTCGCCAGGCATGCCCCCTGGCCGACACGTGGCGTGGCGGTTTTGAAATATGGGAAAAACCCTTTTCTTTTTCTCTCCTGCGTCTCTTCCCATTCACTCCGCTTTCTTCTACTCTTTGGCTTCTTGGGTACGATAGTCCTCTGTACCTTCTCGTTCCTAGCCTTCTCGCTTCCGTTCGTCTTTCGTCTTCGTTTTCGCAGTCTTTCTTCGAATCTTCTTGCTCCTCTTGATGGCTGGTGGACGTGGTGCCGGTTCTTCTGCGCCTGCCAGGGGCAAGGCGCGCGGCAAGGCGGTGGCTAACGGGAAGGGCGCCGCCGAGAGGAAAGACCCGCCCCCGCCTAAGGGCCTGGAGCCGGGTGTTCCTGGTTATTACTGGGTCAAGCGCGAAATGGGGGGGATCCAAAGTGTGTTCAGGTCGCGTCTGGAGGTCAATGCGGTTTGGGAGACGCACCAGATTTGCGAGCCCTCCATTTCTCGGATGATTCGGCTCGAGCCCTGTCCGGCCGGTGAGGGTGTGTTCATGGGGAAGTCTACCGACCCTCATCATTTCTATGTTTATCAGAGTTTCTTCAGGAACCTAGGCGTTTGTCTTCCTTTCACTCAGTTTGAGTGTGATTTCTTGAACTACATCAACGCGGCCCCTTGCCAGCTGCACCCCAATAGCTGGGGTTTTTTGAGGGCGTTTCAAGTCTTGTGTGCGGTCCTAGGGCTAGAGTTGTCCCTTCACGTTTTCCTTCATTTCTACCAACTGAAGCTGGGCGTTCCACCGTATGACATTCTTTCTTTGAACGGGAGTAAAGAAGGGGGTTTATTCACTCTTTTCTTCCAGTCTTATAAAAAATTCAAATCTGAGTTTTTCCGGGTAGTCCTCGTGGACGTCGACCCTTTAGAGGATGGGGACTTCTACTTCGGTGGACTGCCGAAGTTCCCCTTCTACTAGTGCCCCAAACCGTCTAGGTTTCATGGGGTGAACCCTTTGGAGTTGACGGCTTTGGAGGCTGCCGTCGTTAAGAATCTCTCGGCATTTCCTCGCCCGTTGGGTTGCAAGTCGATCTTGTCGCTTGCGAACTCGACGCACAGGGAGAGGGTCCTGGAGAGTGAGTATTTTGCATCTTGGTAGTTTGTTGAGGTTTGTGTAATTCTTCTTCCGAGCCTCCAGAGGAGGAGGTTTCCCCTCTGAAAATCAACCGAAAACGAAAGAGGGGTGGGAGAGAGATCGGGGGGACCTCTGCCCCTCGTGAAATAGGGGAGGTTGCCTCCCAGGTTGTTGAAGCCGGCGCGGTGGACCTTGCTGGGAGTCTGCCATCGGAGGGGGTCGTTCGTGTGGTCGCCGAAGAGGTGGCGTCGGCTGCTGAGCCAGTCGTTCAACCCGGCGAGGTGCCGGCCCAAGCTGTTGAGCGAGTTGCCGCGGTGAGTATTTTTCTTTTCTTAGTCTTGTTTCTATTTTCTTCATTTTATGTTGTTTTTCACCTTTTGACTTGAGATTGTTTTCTATAGGCAGGGGATTCTGCCGAGGAAGTGATCCGGGGTGCCGTACCTGCTGCTCCGGTTGGCGAGGTAAGCCGTTGGCCCCTCTGTGGTATTGGCGTTTTACCCTTTTGTTGACTTTTGTTCTCAGAAGAGTGTCCTTGCTTCTTGCAGGCGGGGAACGACATCGGGTATCTACGCCTACCTCCGTCGAGGCTCGTAGGGAGGGATCGAGCTCCGGGCTCCCTACCCCTGGTCCGGTGCCGAGGCCGAAGCGGTCGTACCTTGTGTATCGCTATGCGCAAGAGGGCGCGCCCATGCGGCTGGAGCATTTCAGTGCGTCGGAGGAGGTCGACTCTTTGTGGAGCGCCGCGGTGACTCCGGAGAAGTTTTTCCCGAAGGGGTCGCTGAGCACGGCTGACTAGGCAATGATCGAGTCGGCCGGGCCAATGGGGAGTTTTGGTGCCGCCCAGATCTTCCTTCAGAGGGGAACGGTGATGGAGCTAGGTTGAAGAAGATTGAGATTCTTCACTAGTTCCATGCTTGGACCGAATGTTCTTGAGGGAAGTAGCTTGAAATCTCCATGAAGAAGTCTTCAATGGAGGATCTGAAAAATTATTAATAACAAAACATTATATTAGAAAAGACTCAAGTCTCACGTCGACTAGAGATTAGGTAATTAAATAGTATATAAGTAAAAAATAATTCTCACCTTATAAGCCAGTTTTGTAAGATTGAGTTAGGCTTAAATCAACTATTCTAAGATGGTATCAGAACTATCCTAGATCCTTACAAATGGGCCACCAACTATTGATACATGCGTTATGAGCATGAGGGGGCGTATTGAGAAAAACTCAAGTCTTGTCAATCCTAGATCATTAAAAGGGTTACCCATCATTTATTCACGTATCAAGCCCAAACTCAAGTCTTGTCAATCCTAGATCATTAAAAGGGTTACCCATCATTTATTCACGTATCAAGCCCAATAATGCTGGATGTGAGGGGTTGTATTGGGAAAGACCCAAGTCTCATATTGACTAGAGGTTAGACAACTAAATAGTATATAAGTGAGAAGCAACCCTCACCTTTCAAGCTGATTTTGTAAGGTTGAATTAAGCTTAAATTAACTATTCTAAAATTAAAAATATAAACGTATATGTATGCACTATGCATGTACCAAAATTTCACCCAAGTTATTATATTTATTAGTGCAAGGTCAAACCCATAACTAAATAGATATAAAAATTGTTAATAATAACATTTTTACTATTATTAGTTGAAAATTACAAATTTCATTGAATGTTACCACTATATCAGGAAATAGAGTAATAGACTTATGAAATGAGATGTAGAGTTCACAAAATTTAAGATTTTTAATAAATTTTAGCTAATAATAAAAAATGTGTGAGTGATGATAATAATAATAAATAATAATAATACCGTAGTACAGGTGTTGCTGGGTATTTCTCATCTAAAAAAAACAAGTCATGTAATTCTAGTCACGATATTTAAAACAAATGTATTTAAAAGTAAAATTTTGGCACTAAAATGAAAAGTAACCCATTTTTCTTTAGTAACTAAAAATTAATACTATTAATCCTGTATAGAACATATGTAAATTTAATTAGTATCTTCTTGATAATTACCTCTTTATCCAGTTCGTAGAACGTATTGCACAGGATCCAATCAGCTTTGTCGATATTGGAGAACTGAGACACAACAAAATCAAAGGGAGTTGGATTTTGTGCATACGTAAAGAAAAAAGATGGCATGTCCTCGTGTTGAAGCTTAGGCAACTTAGGGAGTGAAATCTCATGCTCTGCGAGAGGAGCACGCAACTTTCCCAACTGAACGTGATAGTATATATTATTCACAGTCATATTTTGAGTGAGATAAGCAGCTCCAACTATTCCAAACCTCTTGGCAACATCTAGTGCCCAAGCGAAGAACTTGTCATAAACAACACAATCAACATGGTTTTTCGATTCACCAAGTTTCTCGAGAAGTTCAGCAAGAGTTTCTTGCCCAACTTGCCAAAACCGGTCTACGTAGGCTTTGCTGGTCTCGCCCTGTGTCGGCCTAACGTCGTCGAACCCATCAGAAATGGTTTCGAGTGCCATAGAAGGAGGTACCTTTAGCGAATTCTTGGAGTAGAAACGAGTTGTTGCAAAAGTTATTCTCACCCCTTGATGTTCCAATAGCTTGGAGAGTTGAATCATGGGGTTGATGTGGCCTAGTGCTGGATATGCTAACACCAAACAGTGTGCTTTGCTTGTTGTGATTTGCTTATCCATTTTTATCAAGTTAAGGTCCAAGCCGATGATACTCGACCAATATATGTATTATTATAATCTATATGTCTAATATATTTATAGTATAAGTAAGAATGAACTTATTGATAAATATTGAATAAAAAGTCAAATAATACACCTCTTTATGAAGAATGCACCTCGAGGACCATTGGACAGAGAGAAAATAGATATATATTAATATGTTATGTGATGAGAAAATGGAAAGAGAGAAGTGGGAGAAAATAGATATAATATGAGATGTGATGATATCAAAAAAAAAAAAAAATGATGTGATGAGATGATGGAAAGCGATTGAGAGAATAAATAGAATGAGAATGAGTGGTAAGATATTCAGATATAAGTTTAACATTATTCTTTTTTCATTCAGTTAGCTTTAATTTAATTTTTTTGCAAAAAGATGTTGGGTTTTAAAGAGTGCATAGACATTTTAAGATAACTAATCATAAAAATGAATTAAAATACATCTTAAGGAATATATTTATTATTTAAACAAATGTTTTGGTGAGCGTGCAGCGCATACAATATTCTTATTTTCTAAATGATGTTTGTCAACTTTTTTTTTTTATTTTTTTATATTATAGTGGCTGGTGATATATCATTTTTTTCCTTTTGTACTTTTCTAATATTTTTTTCCTTCTCTATTTTACTCTAAAACTACTTGCATGTTCTAACCGCCTACTACCTACTATTATTCACTTTTATTATTTTTATCTTTTATATTTTATTTTACTTTTAATCAAAATATATATATATAAGCACAAGTCCCTCTTCCTCAATAATATATATAACTACATATAATGAGAAAGTTTTTTTTACGGGAAGGTGAAAAGAACATTAATTAATAAATTTTATTATAATCATCAAAATCAAATCGTGTAAACATTAAAAATGATTATATAACAAGACCATACATTATATAATAATATAAGTTATTCGTCGCACACACTAATATGAAAATCACTTACTCTATCTTTGGAAAAATGATAGAAATCACCAACTCTTCCATTTGAATACGTAAATAAATTTGTGAATCATTTCGACGACTTTGTGGCTGACTGGCTGGTAAGCATTTAACATCAATATTAAATGAATAAACAGAGTTTCAGTTGGGTATGGCCAAGCCCATGGACCATTTACACTTATAAATATTATAAATATGACATTTCTTTTCACGACTTCATGTTCAAATTTATAGAGGTAGAACTAGAATATATATATATATATATTAAAGTGATAAAGAAAATAAGAACGATTAATTAGTATAATAATAATAGTTAGATAATATAAAATAAGTAAACAAAATGAGGTTAAAAATATCTTACCAAATAACTATGACCATGTATTTTTTTATAAGATTATAATACCTTAACACTTATTATAAATAAAAACTTTGTTTTTTATTTTATTTTATTATTATTATTATTTTATTATTATTTTTTATAATAATTAAAGTAATACAAGGTTTCCTCCCTTTTTCTCTTATTAGAACAATACTGGTTGAAAAGTAAGAAATGAAGGGTATGCCTGTGGGTGAACTAAGTTCCTTCCTTGGTTACTAATACCTTCGTTTCTTTATTGTCGCAATCGAAATTACGATAGAAATGACATAAAAATATTTTTTTAATAAAGTTGTCACTAATATTTTGTTTTTGTGGGAAAAAACATTGAAAAATTCTTTTAAAAAATAATCTTTGAAATCAAAGTTAAATTCAAAATTTAATTACGTGTACAGAAAGTATTAATATCATATAAGACCCGTTGAAAATAGTACCTTTAATTAATTGTGCAAAATTATATATATTTATAAATATTTATTTTACTCTTAATTTTTTGAATTTTATTCTTTATTTAAAAAAAATATTCATTTTTCTAAAAAAAAATATTGGGATAAGTACTTAAGTTAGCAAATAACTAGTCATTAAACTCTAAAATTTGATAACATTAAAAATAATTTTTTATTCAAATAATATTATCGATAATTATTATTTCTGATTTTTCGTTAAAAAGAATAACTTTTATTTTACCTATGCATAAAAGTTTATATAACAAATGACTATTCTATAAATTTTTAAGAATTACAATATTAAAGGTAAAAGTTTTATTCAATTAATATCATGAACCATTACACAAATTAAAATAATTTATATGTGAAATAGGTCCCTTTTAGTATTTTTAATTAAAAGAAAAAAATTGCATAAAAATTTATGTTAGCAAATAGCTAATCTTAAATCCTCACAATAACATTAAGGATAGAATTGATATTATTTTTGAATATTTTAAATAAAATAAATTTAAATTTTTTTTAAAAAATAATATGTACAAGAGTTTAAGCTAGCAAATGACTAGTCATTAAATATTTACAATAACATTAAGTATAGGAAAACTATTCAATTAATGTTATCGATTGCCGTATATTTTTCAATTAATAAAAAAAATAACAATCATATTTTTAAAGATTATCCTTTCACAAGAATTTAAGCTAACAAATAACTAGTTATTAAACATTTACAATAACATTAAAGATAGAATAACTGTGCAATTAATGTTTTCGATTGTTGTATATTTTTTATAAAAAAAACTAAATAAATAACAACCATATTTTTAGAAATTATCCTTTCACAAGAATTTAAGTTAGCAAATGGTTAGTCACTAAACTCTCGTAATCAAATAACCTCAAAGATAAAAATGTTATTCAATTGACACTACTAATTGTTGTATATTTAAATAATTTTTTTAAATAAACTTTTATTAAAAAGAAAAGAGAACTTTTGTTTTAACTTATATGCAAAATTCATGATAGCAAATGAGTTTTCTATAATCTTTATTTTAAGTAACATTAAAGGCAAAATTATTACTAAATTAATGTCACAAATTAGTACATGAGTTAAAATCATTATTTTAATAATAAAACAAAGTAAAATCAAAGTTTTTCATAAACTACAACCATCTCTTTTGATAGGAATGAAAAAAAAAATAGAATCAATAAAATACAATGGTTGTAACATATACCTTTTAAAAGTCATGACCTTCAAATTTTAATACAGTTAGGAAAAATCTTCTTAACATTCTAAAACTTCAACTTAATAAAAATAACTACAAGGACCATCAATGTGAATCTTGAAACATTCACCAAAGCAAAAAAGATAGAAAAAAAACATAAAGAAACAAAAGAATAAAAAAAATCAAAGTACATAAAATTTAAATAAACTACCTAATAATTGAATTCAAACAAAAATCAAAAGATCAACATTATTTTTCCTGAATGGTCTTGCTTTATTTACATATAATATAGAATGAAAATTGATTTTCGCATACAATCATGAAATATACATTTAAAATGAAATAAATACAAAAGAAATGAAAGGAAAAATAATTACATAGGATAGGCAATTGATGGATAACCTGTGCAATGCCTCCAAAATCTGTCTCATATGATCACTATGCACAATGTCGATCATGTAAGCCCGTAGTATTGATTTGGAAAAATCACGTGTCTTCCAATTTTTTAACATTTTTCTCCTTTTTCCTTGGATAGGGGATGTAGTTTGTAACTAACCATATCTTGTTATTTGATGGGTTCCTTTTCTCATGACCCATTTTTTCCATTTTCTTAGCAAATTATCCCTTTAACCAGTAATTGCTTTGCTTGTTATTTAATAGTTTTAATTTTTGATTTTCAAATGTCTTATCTCTTTATCCAATGCCTTGATTTTCTCAACCAAATAAAATTAGTTATTTATAATTTCCCCTCTTTACTTGTTTTTATTCAATAATCTAAATGATATTAGTTTTTTTAGATTATTGAAAGAAGAAATATGTAAAGAAAGTGAATCAATTTTATTTGGTGCCTTGTACGAAGAATAATATTGGTGTTAAGGCTTTGGGGGCTAACATGGCGTTGATTTCCAACTAGGATGCAAATGTCGGCTAGGCCTTGTGCTAGATTGAGTGACCAAATGTTGGTGTTGGATTGATTGAATGTTTATGCTGGATTGACTGAATCTTTAAGCTAGATCGACTAAATGTTTGTGCTAGATCGATCGAATGCTAGTGCTAGATCGACTGAATGCTAGTGTTGAATAGATCAAGTGCTAATGTTTTTTCAATCAAATGTTGATGTCAATTCAACTGAATGTTGATGCTAGATTGATCAAATGTTTATGCTAGATCGAACAGATGTTTGTGTTGAATCAACCGAATGTTGGTGCTAGATTGACTAAATGTTGATGTTGGATCAGTCGAATGCTAATACTAGATTGATTGAATGCTTATGTTATATCGACTAAGTGCTTATGCTAGATCGACTAAACACTAGTGCAAGACCGATCTAATGCTTATATTGGATTGACCAAATGCTTGTGTTAAATTGGTCAATGGGTTGTGCCAGGCAGATATTGGGCTTATACGAAAGAAAAATGTAACTTGTGTAAGGTAAGTACTGGATATAAACAAAAAGTCAAATATGTTAAACAGGTTCTCGACCTAAAGGTTCCATACTATTGGCTCTAAAGTCTTAAGGAAACCAAGTCATAGGCTTTAGTAATCAAGAGATGCAAATGAAATGTTGATGACAACTCCAAGTGAAGATGATTGATGTTTTTCACTCCTTGAATTGCATGAACACTTGATCACTTCTTTGAGGAAGCTAGACGTGAATCCAGCCAAGGAGAAGAAAGGTGAAGATGGATGAGAATGGAGAAGAAAGCACCAATGTAAAGTGAGTAAAGAATTACTCACAAAAGTTGGCCTAATTCCTAGAATAAGCCTAAGAACTATTTGGCCAAGGGACTTTGAAAGGAGAGAAAAGCTGAAGTAATTTTCAGAAAATTTTCAATAATGATCAAAGTGTGTACAAATGAGTGGGAACATGCATATATAGGCCACGGATCCAAGGGAATTGGTGCCACACATTAGTGCACATGTTGGCGCCAATTTTGAATTCAAAATTTGAATTTTGAATTCAAATTGCATGTCTAAGTAATGTCATTCCCATGTGGCCGTCCCCTTCGA